ACTGTTTAAAAGAAGGCTGAGATTCTGTCCCGGACGCTCGAACAGAAGCAGGTGTTTGGCTTAAGAGGCCGTCCAATGGGCCTTTGATTTTAAGCCTGGTTCTCAAAGCAACGGAGAAACGTCAGGAGCTATGTTACCCCGTTTCCAGTGGCCAGAGCAGGTTTATACGCTATTTGATCCTACTTGATTCTGGGCTCATGTTCACCATAGGTTTGAAACCGGAGTTACTCCAGCTCCCATAGGTAGACCTGGATGCCCAGCAGTCCGATTGTAAGTACCATGAGTTCGCGCTTACCCTTCCACTTTTGTGAAGAACATCTTAGCCATGTGGAGGCAGCGAATAGAATTTACCGGGCGGAGGCTATGAGCGGGTGGCCACATGAGAGCATTTTGAGAGGGAGAAAACGTTTACCTATCCTCGACTGTACCAGGTCGTTTGGGGGTGACATTCTTGTTTATTCCCACTGTTAACACCATTCCACAGGTAGGATTCTCATCTGTTAACTCTACAACCATTAACAGCGACAGGAGTTTGAAAAACACTACCGACGACCTTTTGAAACTATACCACCAGCTTCATATAAGAGCACTCAGCATTAGGACCCTTTGCCAAATCCAAAAACAAGTGTCACTAACTATAAAGCTGGCATCGTAAGCCATGAATGTATGCTGTTTCTCAGAGACACTTACAACATCTAAGTGTGATTACACAACTAACCCCACAGAGGCAGTAGGATGAGATTCTCAAATTCAAATTATGGCCACTTAGAGATTTTTCAAATAGTTTGCAGTGCATTGGTGTGGGAATAGCAATGAGTATTATGGCTGATAGTCGAGAAAAACGGCACTGTAACAACCTCTCGATATAAAAAAAATTCACAGTCCTGCAACCTGAAAGAAATATGAGCAATGACAAGTCTTCCTGTGATAACCATCGTGAGATAAGCTTGGCCAACACAATACCTGAAGTTCCAGGTGCACGGTAGAAACAAACACGAAAATCCAAGCAGGCTTTAGATCAGGTCTCAGAACATAGTCATTTACTGGCGTCCAACTACTGTCTGTCTGTCTGTTTTCGACATGGAACTTTGCACAAATGTGCGACAGTTCGAGTCACCACACTCCATGTAGCACGCGAAGCAAGAGAAGAAAGTACAAGAAAAGCATAATAGAGACAGTAAGCAGAGGTGTGAGACAAAGGAAGAGTAATAACGAAGAACAAACCAGTTTCATTGGAGATCATAAGTCACAAGGAGTGGATGCATCTGTGCCACTGAGAACGATTTTGAGCCATGTCACCAATTGTTTCCAACCATTGGTTTTTACCGTCCCGAGGACCCCAACCAGTCAGGAAGTCTACACCTTCCTACGTGGCTTAGACCAACTGTTGTGGATTTCATTGACTGGTGCCAAGTTTTTGTTTGACCGCCGCTAGTTTTTTTCCAACCTGACCCTACATCCGCTAACATTGCTCGTCGAGGGAGGCGATGACTTGGCATACGTATCACATGTCCTAACCATCCCAGTCTTTGTAACTTCACGACTTCGTCGATTGATTTCCCCTGCCTACCTAGAACTCGACCAACGCCTAACCTCAATATTGCTCATCTTATTATACCACTTTACACGGGAAATAGAGCGCAGGCACCTATGATCAAAGACAGCTAGTCTTTTCATGTCTTCCACTCTCAGTGGCCAGGTCTCACAACCATAAAGGAGGACGGAGCGGACTGATGAGCAGTACACCCGCCCTTTGGTCGATAGTCGAACATCTCGTCTACGCCAGAGTCGGCGTAAACTGGCAAATGAGAAACGAGCTTGTTTTCTCAGAGTATGGCCACCCAATCCACCTTTATTCGTGCTGAGATTTCGTCAGAGATCAACCCGTTGGCACTGGCTGATGGTACTTCCCAAATAACTTACTTACTTTACTTTACTTCGGCTATCTCCTACGGGAGGATGAGCCGGCTTCATGAACGTCTCGAATCATCGCTGCCCAGGCGCGGCAATTTATAAGAGAGTTCATGTAGTTTCATGGGAATTGGGTACGAGTGATGTCCCCAGCATCGCTCGGCCTTTTGTTTGAGAGTGCAGCTCTAGCCTTTACACAGCCAAGTGTGACCTACAAGGCAGTAGGAGTGGAGTAAGGAGTCCACTATCCATTGGAAGCCGGTGACCGGAGTTCGGTTCATACGCCTTTTTGAATGGGGCCAGATATCCAGGACATCCAACAAGCCCTTTGTCCATACGTCTGCCGGTGAGCTCCAGTGAGCTTCATACGCCAGTCGTTGGAGGTTTGGAATCAGGGTTTAGCCATCTCCCCTAGACTGTCATCCAATGGACAGTCAACCCGGTGGAGAGCGCCGGGCATCCGCTTTCGCCCTCTCACTTTGGTGAGAAACACCTCCGCCACGTGAAGGCAGTGAGTAGGACTTCCTCAGGAGAGGCTATGTAAGACGCCCGGTCATATGGGAGCATTTCAGGAGGTGTGCGGAGGGGTGGCCAACCCGCAGCGCAAGGCACCCACCCCCGACCATCCTGAGGCTTTGGAGGCGGTCAACGTGCTCTACCACTTCACTTCCTATTTTTAAGCTAGGAGTCGGTGTAGTCCAGTCCTGTAACATCATCTTGCATTTGGCGGGAGCGAATCGCATGCCAACATAAGCAGATTGCAGCTCTAGGTGTTCAGAAGACTCTGCATTTTTTCAGCATCCTCGCCTAGTAGAACTATATCATCTGCATATTCTATGTCAACGAGATTATTCCCTGGTAGCAAGTCAATCCCTGAGTCGCTGAAGTGAGTTAGGGTTAAGTTCATTAGTACATCTATGATGAAGTTGAATAGAAAGGGGGATAATGGGCATCCCTGACGGACACCACTAGTCGTCACCACTTCAGATGACAGCCCGCCGTAAGCCCTCACCTGGCTGGCTGCATGAGTACGAGTAGAGTGCCTTAATCAGTGCAATGAATTTTCTCGGGATTCCCTTTACAGCCAAGCATCTCCAGAGACCCTCTCAGTCAACAGAATCGAATTCCGCCTTTAGGTCAAGAAATATAATGACTGTTGGACGCCGGTAAGAATGACTATGTTCTAGAATCTGTCGGAGGGTGAAGACAAGATCAATACACCCTCTTCCTGGTCTAAAGCCTGCCTGACTCTCTCGTGTTTGTGCCTCCCGAGCACCACTTAGTCTACGCATGATTATTGAGCCTAGGACTTTAGATACTATATTAGTCAAGCTAATCCCTCTGTGATTATCGCAGGAAGACTTGTCTCCCTTCTGGTATATGGGGATAATCAGTGACTTACACCAACCCGATGGGACTTCTGATTCCCAGACGCTGCCTAGTACCTCAGTTAATGCGGAAAGTAAACTGTCTCCACCGTACTTAAATACCTCTGGAGTCATTCCATCAGGTCCCGCTGCTTTGCCTAGTTTCAGATTGGTGACAGCTTTAGTAACCTGTTAGGGATAGAGGACCTGTGTCTATATCCCATTCAGGGAGGTGTTGGATGTTCGTCTAACGACTACGATATTTCTTAACTTGAAGAAGGAATTCGACTCTGTTGACCGAGAGGTATTATGGCAATGTTTGTTAGTGAAGGGAGGACCGAGAAAGTATATCTCAATAATCAAGGAACTCTACTCGAACTCAAGTAGCACTGTAACAGTTTATGGAGATTTGTTATCTGAAGTGATGGCATCCAGTGATATCCGTCAGGGATACCCGCTGTCCACATTTTTGTTTAATTTCGCCAAAGATGCACTAATGGGATGGGGCCTAACTGATTTTACCAACTTAGGGAAAAGTTTCATGGACTTAAAATATACCAACGAAATCGTCTTTCTAGGTGAAGACGCTGCATTAACCCCAAGCTTGATGATAGGGAGTAAAGTTGTGGAATGTGTTGACTACTTTACTTATTTGCGAAGTTGCATCAGCTCCATCAGACTGATTGCCGACGAAATCTCAGTACAGATAGGAAAGACTTGTGTGGCATTTTCCAACTCACGCCATCTTTGACATAGACGAGAAATCTGGGTATCGATTAAGGCGCGGCAGTTTGCTTATCCCTCTTTATGGCAGTGAGACGACCATTGAAGTGGAACTTATGAAAAGACTAGCAGATTTTGGCCATAGATGTCCTATTCCGCGTATTAAGTGGTATGATATGGCCAGAAATGTTGAGGTCATATGTAAGGAGGCTGAGATAGTCGGTGAGGTTGTGAAGCTACGTCGATTGAGATAGCCACGACGTGTTAAGCACTCTAAGCCATCGCCCTCTTCGTCGAGCAACCTTAGCTGACATAAAATTAGGTTGGAGAAGAGTTAGCAGTGGTCAAACCAAAACCTGGAATCAGTTCAGAAAGTATATGACAGATAGTTTGAGACATGTAGGAGTGAGAACTGTCTGAGGGGTTAACTGGATTCTAAAAGCCGATGGGTTGAGACTATGGATAAGATGCCCAAAAACTATTCTCAGTGGGGCAGATGCATTCACTCTTTGTAACCTCCCAGATCCATTAAATCGTCATACTTGTCCATACTACTATTATTTCTCTCATACGTTTTTGCTCACTAAACTTCGTTTTAATTTCTTTTTTTGTTTTTGTCTCTGCCTTTATGTGCTACACAGGATGTGGCAAGTTGAAGCGCTGCACTTCTAGTTAAAGTTCTGTGTTGAAACTGTCAGTCAACCAGTGGCTGAGCTATGAAATCCAATGCTTTGATGGGAAGTTTTACTCATTAGCTCAGATAAGATGAAGCGCCACAAGTAACATAAATAAAATTTTGGTATGAATTATATCCTGAATACCTTTCTCTGGACCCGAAAGCTCACACATTTACAGAAATTTCCTGGCTACTTAAAAGACAAGGATTTTGAAACCAATGGCTACATCTGAACAGAAAATTCTCAAGGTCTGTTGAGACAGTTACTGCACAATAAATAAAGCAGATTACATGAAGTTAAAAAAGTGTCTGAATAAACTAACTTGAACATAAGGATTAGACACCATTAATGGACGCAGTTGAATTAGTAGTACACCGATTGACTCATAATCTGTCATCCAGCTACCTCGATTGGGGTCCACATCTTTTACCGAGGTGGCTTCACCAATAACACCAACGGATACTGCTGGCTGTTTTGAAGATACAACAGGTGATGGTTGACAGACAGGTTGCTTAGAATCAACATTTACAGAATGCACTGGAAAGCGAAGAAGGTATGGCGAAATATTTGATTGCATGTTTGAACCCAGCGGTCCAGAGACTTCAGGGGATATGAGTAAAGGATTGCGTTGATTAGAAGGGACTACAAACGCTGGACGTGGGTTTTGAAGAAGACGTTGATTACTCATCAATACTAAATTGAACAAACTAGAATAGAGAGAAATACCTAAATATTATTCACACAAAGCGTAAGCGATTGGCTTAAACAAATAATTGTAACAGAACAACTGAAATTCAACCATTCATCAAATTCCTACTAAACTCCATAGACATTCCTTTTCCCATACATTTTCGTTCATTATGACTCCTTCGAATGTTTTTGTACCTTTTAGTGCTTTATGGGAGGTGGCTACGTAAACTGCTGCACTTTTGTGAACATTTCTACGGTGAAAACTCGGTCAAAAATCTAACTAAACATGTGCAGTTTACTGTCACGGATAAAGCAAATACCAGACTGACTGACTGACTAACTGGTTTTAGCATATCACAAAAGTGCAGCAGTTACCAGCTGCCACACCCCGTGTAGCACACAAAGGAAGAAAAATGAGAAGAGGGTTTCAAAACGACGATAATAAAGCAGAAATGTGAGGGAGAAAGAATAGGAAAAGAAAAACAATAGGGATCTAATGGATATGGCAGACCACAGAGAGTGAATGCATTTCAGTGGCTCAAATGAATCCACTCCTTGTGACTTATGATTTCCAGTGAAACTGTTTTGTTCTTCGTTACTACTCTTCCTTTGTCTCACACCTCTGCTTACTGTCTCTATTATGCTTTTCTTGTACTTTCTTCTCTTGCTTCGCGTGCTACATGGAGTGTGGTGACTCGAACTGTCGCACATTTGTGCAAAGTTCTATGTCGAAAACAGACAGACAGAATGCATCTGGGCCATAACACCAATTACTTAGAATCCCGAGGATCCCAACCAGTCAGTCTACACCTCCTTAGTGGCTCAAACTGACTATTAAAGATTTCTTGGAATTATTCCTGGGTTTGATTTGACTACCATTAGCTTTTTTCAAGCTGATTCTGTTAGTTAACATTGGCTGTTGAGAAAGGCGATGGCCAGGACGCGTTACGCATACTTCAAGCGATGTAGTTTCACAGCCTTAGAGATTGCCTTCCCCTCCTGACTTAACGCTCGACACCTAAGTGCAATATTATTCACCTTATTATACCACCTGACGTGGGAGACAGAACATAGACACCTATGATCAAAGACAGTTAACCTTTCCACAACTACTTTGGTGACTATATATCACAACCATAAAAAAGGATAAAGTCAACTGCCGCGCAACACAACTGTCCTTTGATCGATAGTCAGTTATCACGTGTACGTCAGATATGGCGTAAGTTGGCAAATGCCACACAAGCCTTTCGTATTCATGCTGAAATTTCGTCGGCAGCCAGTTCGTCGAGTTCGTCGCAAATAAATCAAGTGGTCAACACGCCCCACAACTTACACGGCTGCGCAGGTACGAGTGGAGTCCTTCAATTAGTCCGATATTCTTTCTGGGTCTTCCCTTCACTACCAGACAGTGAAATAGTACCTCTTGATCAACAGAGTCAAATTCCTTCTTCAAGCCAAGTAGAATGGCAATTATTGGACGCCCATAAATATACTTATGTTCCAGCACCTGTCGAAGAGTGATGAGATGATCAGTATGCCTCTTACCTGGTCTAAAACCTGCCTGATTTCGTTTTTCCCGAATACCGTTTAATCTACGCATTATTTTCTAGATTAGAACTTTAGATACCATATTTGTCACGCTAACGCCTCTATGACTGTCACAGGAAGACTTGTCGCCCTTCTTGTATGCTGGGATAATCAATGACTTACAGCAGTCACACCTGACTACTTCTCATTTCTAGATCAAGCTAAATACCTTAAATAGCCCAGAAAGCAATTTGACACTCTTTAAAAGCGTCTGGAATCAATCAATAAGATCCTATAGAAGCATAAACGAAGTGCGAAATTAACCTTCTGGGCACATCCTACATTACATCCTCAAATTACTTCTCAGAGGCATCACAAAACAACCAGAGAGTCACCCAAAACTGACTGGCGTTTGTATGTTCTGCATTATAAAATGATAGCATACACCTCTACGCACCAGTAACTTGTTTTATGGTGACCTTCACTGTTTAGCCAATTACTTACATTAACGTCATTTAAATGAAGTCAAGTTACAGCCATGAAATGCTGTGCTATGTTGAGCAGTCAGGAGTTCACATTTCGGGGGCAAATTCGAGGACGTGAATCAGTTTAACAAACATAATCTCCGGTATTTAACACCGTGGACAAACAACATGAGAACTGAATGTGTACTTCGTCGTTTTATATAAGTGATGAGGCTGAGACTCTAATATAGCAGTAGTGATAACTAATATTCAACTAAATTGGTATCAATTTTTCGGTGAGTTTATGTATTATCGATCGCAATAGGCCAAGCACGTTGGCACACTCGGTTAAGTAATTATACCAAAGCACCTCAAATGAAAATAGTCAAGTAAGTGCTTTAGAAACATAAAAGTAATCAAAAGTAGAAAAATTTGGTTTTGTACTCTAGCGTCAATTAAAACCATACATACTACACTTTCTGATAGTATGAGCACCGCTATATTGATCCCGATTAAGATAAGTAACGAGGGAGTCCATGTCCAAAACTTCCAATGTGCAAATACTGTTAGCAAGAATGTATAGCGAATGTGAATGATGTTTACTTACTGGTAACTGATACCATATAAATGGTCACTATTTGGGTAAATTCAATAGCCATGTGAGTATACTGACACAATACACTGAAAGTCAAAATTTATTTACCTTTGTATTTGAGAATGACTCAACTGTGAAGTGGGCATGAATGAAAAGAGAGACCGAAGTGTTAGCAGCGTTAGGAGCACACTGGGATCATGAGGTGATTGTCCCTTCAAAACTTCCGGAGATGCAGAATTTGTGGCCATTTCAGTTCGCTGAAAAAAATGAATTGAGTTCAGATAGGTAATGGAAAATACGGATTACTTGGCACCAATATAATCTTGATACCAGCACTGTTAGGATCCGCGAAATGCCTTACCACATAGCCACAATAACGTCAACTCATAGTCCTGCCCATAGATCTAATATAGAAGACAAAATTTACATATTCGATCGATCATTTTCATTAGAGCAATCGAAAGACTGATCTTTACGCAGGGTACGCGTGTGACACATTCATCTTTTACTAGGACACGAACTAAGCCGGCTAATTATTCTGAAGTTTTAACACTGCATTAAAACATTGGTTACAATGGAACGTGACAGCAAAGATCACTTTCACCTTGATTAATCTATGAGAAGGGAATATACCACAATACATGGAGCATGTAGTTGGTCTCAAAAAAAAACAGGGATCAGTCATGTACGGACACATTTGAGTACATTGAATAAACCAGAACTATTCTTGACTCTATTACTTTCAAAATTGTTTACAGGCAAACTTAAACCTTTTACAATTACAGGAGTCATACGTTCGATAACTTAGGAGCGAAATGTATTCAGGAGCTAAAACTTCGAATCACACTGTATTATAAATGCAACAGAAGTCCTGAGCATCGCATTTAAATACACGAACTTAAACACAGAACTATTCAGTGTAGATAAAATTCAGCAACTACATACGAGAATGTGTGAGATTCGACAACAAGTCCCCTTAAGCAAATAAGAGAAAGATGTATACAACTTAATGTGAAATTCCCAATAATAATAATTCACGGGAAAATTCTGATTTTAAAACAAATCTGTTCAGAATAAACACCTACCTAATATGCAGTATATTTTGACATTAAAGCATTTCTTGATAGTCTATTCGAGGATTTTGACTATTGAATTATTTATTAATTCGCCCTAGCCAGCATTTTTTCGCTTATAATGTCCTAGGAAACGGATGGAAACAAACACCGGACGACCAGGAAAAAGATCCAGAAGTCAAGTATTATCTGAGTAAATCGTTTTAAGTGGAATTAGTCATAGAAATAGAGTCAAAATTGATTATTTTGTATACTAGAAATAACGGTAACTCACGTAAGCTGATCGATTTTGATTCGCTTGTGGATGATATGTCTGACTGCCAGTAATGGTTGAAGACTTAGAACTATGCTGGCTACCAGGAAAATTCGCAGTTAGAAAGCTAGACTGAGAAAGCTTGGTTCCTTCGGTCGCGGCAAGACCCACAGTTTGAGATTCTGCACTTGGCATGTGCAATAAGTTATTTTGTGCAAAAGCTTCAGAAGAATTCGACGGAGCACACGCGGTTAGTGACTGAATAATGCTAGCGATACTTTTGGAGCTGGAATCCGATAAGGAGCTGCTCTCTGGTGTGAGACCTGTGTCGTTACAGCTATCGATGCTCCAGATATCTCGAGAACCATCAAAAATATTCGTTGAGGCAGTCGGGTATGCAGGAGCGTTTCTTAGATTCTGAAATGACTTTTCATTGAATTTTGGATACGAAACTTTTCTGGATATATCAAGAATTGCCGGATCTTCAAAGGCTTCATCCAAAACCAGCTTCTTCAGAGTTTCTTCAACGTCAACAGCCTTTAGTGTATTTTTAGGTAGTGGCGGAAAACCTACCCCTTCACCACCATCGTCTCCTGGAGCTGTACCACAACTCAAGCTATCTGACTGCCATAAAAACGATAGATCATCAGAGTCTTTCCAAAATTTCGGCAGCTCATCTGCCGCTGGCGACCTCTGAGGGTCTTCGTTGAGATTCTGGACAAATAATTCATGTTCACCTTCCCAGTCACCTAAAACCAATAGAAGAGTGGGTATTAACATACCTATCTCTGCACAGTCAAATGTCTCTTCATTAAGCAGGTCAGGATCCTACAACATAAAATTGAGAATTTTCTAATAGTGAACCACCTCTTCTGGAAATTCCATATGTGGAGGGAGAGAATCACGTGAATTTAACAATACACCATGGACTAGTAGGTCACATTGGAGCACCGCTGAAAAACTAAACACGCGGGTTGCGAATATCTGGAAATTCAATGTACAACAAATTCAAAATCCCTCTTACAGAACAGCATAGGTGAAATGATCTCTTTTGGACCACTTGCAGCAGTAAAACGAAAGCAGGTATTGTTTTATGGACTTATGTGTACATTCTCTGCCACTTGTCCACCATAGCCACCATAGCCGATGCGAAAATGTTGAGGAAAAGTAACTCTGTTGCATTCAACACTTTTGCCTTTGTCGAATGATTGGTATTCAGTGGCTGTTGGCGATATTACTGGACCAGTTTTTGGTGGTCGGTATTGTAGTCTTTTGCGGTGATTAGCACCTCGCCTAGTTGACTAGCTTGCTAGTATTATAGCTAGTCAAAAGCCCAAGAAAGAGGTCGGCCGGAGCTAGCGACCCTACACCACAAATCAACCAAACTGCTACACAAACTTTAACACACAAGAAAAATATTACAAATGCAAGAAATTCAAATAACAAACTTACTCTTCAGTGGAATCGGAGAGGCTGAATGACACAGCGGGCTAACTGGTGAACGCCTACATTCGTGAAGCCAGTTAGTCAGCCAATATGTCTTCCACCGATGAAAGCAAGAATAAGAATGCAAATGTGAAATGTACGTACAATGTGCGAGGCTGGCTGGGACGGCTTCTCAGGTAGCCAGAGAGTTGAGAAGATATGGTATAGAAGTGGCGGGAATGTGAGAGGGCAGATGGAATGTATGTGGACTGTCGAAATTGTCAACTGGTGAGTCAGTAATCTACGCCAGTCACCCACTCAGACGACAACCACCAGCACACTGAGGCAGTGAGTGGCAGCCTTGCAGAATCTCTCCTTGCAGAATCATGACTCGAAGATTCAACTGAAAAGGCGTGGGGAGGAAGGTTACAGTTGTCCAATGCTGCGCACAGTGCCACAAACAACTCGGAACAAGAGGAGATGGGAGATTTCTGTTGACAACTACAAATGGTAATGGACAACATCCCGAAAGCCGTGAAAACAACGGGAGAAACGCCACTGTTGACGTTCACAAGTCAGAAACTGAATCACGAAACCACAAAAAGACGTCCCTAACTAAAGCTATCAGAGCGAAGTCGGAGACACTACATGGCATCACTGAAGAAACCTGTGTGAGAGAATATCGGAGCTCCCTCTGGAGGTGATGTTCGAGGAAACGCAAGTAAAAGAGACCTCAGAACGTCATATCAGATAACCAGGTCACTTGCTATCCGAGAAGAGATCAATCCAGATGATGAAACCCATAAAGGATGCTCAAGGGGCCTGATTACCTAGGAGGAGAAACGAATGAAACAATGGACTGATCACCGTGCAGGACTCTTGAGTTGATCATCACCTGCAACTCCCACAGGAATAGACCACCTCGAACAGCACGTAGAGAACTGCCTGCCAGGGATACCAATCCTCGAACGCAAGCAGAAATCCTGAATTCGATCAAGCTACTGAAGTTCAGTGGGGAAGGCAGCATGACCAGACGGAATACTGCACCCCGAAGCACTGGAAACGGACCCGGAGACCCCACCACATGTGCTTACGCCATTACTGCAAACGGTTTGGAAATACGGAAGGGTACCTACCCATTGGGAGAGAGGCTAGCTACATTGTCAAGCTACCAAAGTTGGGCAACTTACACCTCATTCTGCAATGACAGACTGTCGTGGAATAATGCCCTTCTCCACACCAAGTAAAACACTGAGTCTCATCATCCCGGCAAGAATAAGGGATACACTGGATACAGAACTCCACCAACCCAACCGGAATAAGCTGGCTTTGTTGAGGAGCGACAAGTCAGGTGCTGATCAAATTGCAACCCTATGAATCATCATCGAACAAAGGAAGGCATGTCAGTCAAATCTCACTCTACCTCAATTTAATCGACTTCGAAAAGGCCTCCTGCAGATGGTGTTGACGGAGAAGTTATTCGGAAACTACTTGAACACTACGGCGGGCAGTGTGTAAGTCTTTATCAACCTCATTCAAGAGCTGGCTGGCTTTGTGACAACACCACGTGTTAGGTGATCCACAACAGAAAACTCAGCTTGTTGTTCGAAGTGAATACAGGAGTAAGACAAGCTGGTTGGCTGCCTATTATCACCGACGACGATATTCCTAATTGTGTCAGGCTGTATGTTGGGTGTGAGTGAGTTAGAGGACAGGAAGACACCTCACTGACCCATCAGAAGCCTCTAAAATATCTGGATTTCATGAGTGGATGATTTCTCCTTTTTTGTGTGCTCTGAGTTTGGCTTAGATTGATACTGCCGATTAGGACTTACATACATTCATGGCTTACGATGCCAGCTTTATAGTTAGTGACACTTGTTTTTGGATTTGGCAAAGGGTCCTAATGCTGAGTGCTCTTATATGAAGCTGGTGGTATAGTTTCAAAAGGTCGTCGGTAGTGTTTTTCAAACTCCTGTCGCTGTTAATGGTTGTAGAGTTAACAGATGAGAATCCTACCTGTGGAATGGTGTTAACAGTGGGAATAAACAAGAATGTCAATCAATATAGCGGTGCTCATACTATCAGAAAGTGTAGTATGTATGGTTTTAATTGACGCTAGAGTACAAAACCAAATTTTTCTACTTTTGATTACTTTTATGTTTCTAAAAGCACTTACTTGACTATTTTCATTTGAGGTGCTTTGGTATAATTACTTAACCGAGTGTGCCAACGTGCTTGGCCTATTGCGATCGATAATACATAAACTCACCGAAAAATTGATACCAATTTAGTTGAATATTAGTTATCACTACTGCTATATAAAAGTCTCAACCTCATCACTTATATAAAACGACGAAGTACACATTCAGTTCTCATGTTGTTTGTCCACGTTGTTAAATACCGGAGATTATGTTTGTTAAACTGATTCACGTCCTCGAATTTGCCCCCGAAATGTGAACTCCTGACTGCTCAACATAGCAGTGTTCTTGTTGGTAACTATTTCTAGTTGCTTGTAAAACTTCCTCTTCTCTTGGACAGGGTTGTTTGTAATGATGCAGCAGTGAATAATTGTAACTTCCTTACCTTTTGAATTGACGAATGCGCTGTCATGGTCATGAGTGAAATTGGTTTACACTTCATGAAAGCCTTCGATACAGTTATTGAAATCCTTATAGGCACTTCTCAGTGTTTTAACGTTTGTCTACTGAATTACTGATTGTGTCCTCTGCAATCAACAATGTTTATTTTTTATTTTTTTATTTTTGATTTACAGCTTAATTCCACACTGTATTTTTGGTACAAGTATGGAATTTTCAGCATGGATATCGGTAGCCCAAATTTTGCAGGCTGACCATTGATATCAGGTGTGCGTCGGGAGAGGATCGAACCTCGGACCGTGTGCACGGTTGGCGAGAGTCCTAGCCATTGTGCCACCGACGCACATGTCCATTTCGTCTCCATTTGCTTTCAGAGACCTTTAGCACTTCTGTACTATGCTTTCTAATTTCTTCTGCAATACGACGAGCCATCTCAGCTTCGAACATTGTGGGACCGTTCTATGTTCTCACGCCTATTTTGCCTCGTCGAAGGAAGATATCAACTGACTGGCATTTTGGTAGCTTTCATCTTTTTGTTATTTTTCTACCTGATTCCAGCAAAGACTGAGATTATTCCTCCTATTTTGTCTGTGCGTTGAGGTGTCTGTAGCGATTGGGTTGATTTTCCGGTGTACAGTTGTTAGCTCCTCACCTAACCTTCCCTCTTTCTCTGAGCTGAGGACTGACTGTTGAACTAGGCGACGTCGTGGCGTGGCTTATAGTCTGACGTAAATCTCTGAAGACTGATATCAATACTTCCAGATTACTCTTTCGATATAAGCGACACCAATAACTGTATCATCGTCAATAATTTGGGATCAAAGCTCTATATATTATATCATCTTAGATCATCGAGTTTCGTTGTGTTTGAATCCTACGCATCAATCCATGTTGCGTCAACATACGCTGACTTAGTGAAAAAACTTTGTATTCCGCACAACTACATAACTCTCATTTCCTCTAAACAGTCACATAACTGAAAACTAATGAACGGTTGAGACGGTGTAGAGGGGTTGAATGTCAAAACTACCAAAAGTATGTTCCCACATGATCTCACATGTCTAATGGAATCCATTATGTTTGGCCTTTAGTCTTTTGCATTTGATGGGATATTTAGTGCAGTGTGTAGACAATTTAAAAACGAAATTCTAATTCCAATATAAAAATAGGCAATCTTAAAAAATAAGTTAGTTTCGTATCTGTCAACAGTAGAGAGATTTTGAAAACTCTTTACCTTGGAACACAGTATGAATCTCTTAAACCGCTGACAAAATGTTCCACTTAGTGGCGTGAGCAACAAGATACCCACCATATAGAACTACGGTTTGTAATAGAGGCTTTATCAAGTAGTCGTCATGTATTATTTTTTTCGAGTTTGATCACAGACATATGTCAGTTACAGAACCGTTGGGAAGCTGGGGAGTACTAAACAGCTGTCTCATCGTTGATCGGGAATCTTGAACAGTGCACGCCCGACCGGATTCAAACCCAAGACCTTCTGGCTACACGGAAAGCCTTTAAACCCTTCAGCCACTGGACCGGACATGGTGGCACATGAATTCCAACTTCCACTGATTCGTCATTCTGGCGCCACCACCACCAGCCTGTATCATCGGAAAGTGTTTGTCCTCGCGCCCGACCTGGTGGACCCCACTAGTCGTGACTTCTCACTAGAACTCCAGTCAACTTCATCTTGTCAGCTAGTCACTGGTGAGCATCAGATTAATTTTCGAAAGTTAGTTTGTAGGGGTTCGATTTGTTTTAAGTTCGATCGATGTTATTTGGGGAACTACTGAAAACAACGTAGTACTGTACAGCTGTTTCGTTCTAGACTGTTATTATTATTTTATTTTTAAAGGT